TTTGGTTTCTGTTGCATACAATTCTTCTATCTTGGTTTTAAATTCAAAATGGTTTACTGAAGCCTTTCCAAGTGTTTAGAATTCTCATTTAAATAGAAAGCTGCTCTTGAAAGAACTAAGCATCAAGCTGATGAAGCCATTTAAGCAGGATGATAGAGGGAAATGACAGAAAAAAGCAACCAGGAACATGCATTATATTCCTATCTAAAAATACATTTTCAGATAGAATCTTTGGGCTTGAAATAAAACCACTTCACCAGGGTTTACTACTACTCAATAAATCTGAAATTAGTGATTCACTTATGGCTTCCCTTGTATATTCAGAACTGTCACAAAAAGGGCTTTATTTATGTTCATCATTGTGTGTTGGCTATTTCCTTTCATGCTATTTCCTGTGACAAGATGCTCTTTGAAGGGTTCTGTTTTACACAGGCAAAGGAGAGCAAGTTTTGCTATATTGACGTTTGTATCTGGTCAGCTGTTTTACCTTGTAATAAACCCCATTGAGGTTGGAAAAGAAGCACTGATGGTACCACCAGCCCCCATGGGATATTTCAGCACAGATGTTCCCAGTGTCCGGGGTGCTGAAACTACGCTTGTTGTGGTACCAGCTGAAAGAGTCTTCCACAGTCCCACTGAAACCACTGACATGCAGACGATAGTGGTTGACTTCCTCCTCAATACTGCAAATAACAGAGAAAAAAAATCAGTTCCATACCAGTTTTTCAATTCTTCTGAAATTGTAAGCACATTTATTTAGGTTTTAATGAAGAGTGATTTCACAATAATACATTTCTTGTTGCAGTGAACAGTACTTTTCCTGATAACATAAAAAAATATTGTACATATTGTTTTGCTCTTATGCAATGATAAACTTTTGCACTTCACTGAAAACATAGAACAGTCTTTACTCCTTATTAGAAACCACCATTACGGTACATGTATGTGTTTGTTATTATAATTACTAGTTCATTTTTTGTGCAATAATATTAAGAAATGGTACAGTATGTAGCACTTTTATAGGCAACATCGATTATCTTTACAATACCACAAAATTCACAAAACCAAAAAAGCAGACACATGTATTCCAGTTTCTTTCCCAGAAGTATTTACTGTAATTTTCCTGAAATTTTAAATATAATTTTGGTTTAATGTACTTACCTCTTATCATATCTACTGTTTAATTTGTACCTAAACTGAATTTAAAACTTTGTAAACATTGAAAGTAGCACATCCATCCATCCGTTTCCTCACCTTCATCCAATTAAAGGTCATGGGGGAGCTGGAAAGTAACAGGCACAAGGTTGGATACACCTTAGACAGGATGCCAGTCCATTTCAAGATAGAAACACACACTCACAAAATGGTTTATTAAAGCCAATGTTCCCAGAAGCCAATTAGCCTACCAGCATGTTTTTGGACTGTGGGAGAAAACTGGAGCATCTGAAAGAATTCCACACAACCATAAGGAGAATATACAAATTCCACGCAGATGGCAGCACTGCAGTTTGTATGAGTTTCCTCTGGGTGCTGAGGTTTTCTGCTTCACTGCTACACTAGGTTTGAGTGTGTGCGTATCTGTGTGTGTGCCCTGCAATGGACATCCAGGGTAGACACTGTTTTGCTCCTGTTGCTTGCCAGAATAGGCTCTGACTCCCCCCGTGACACCCAATTGGAAGACGTAATTAGAAAATGGATGGATGGATGGACTTACCACAAAGACTAGGTTACAGCCAAGCAAGTCCTTACCTGAAGCTCTCGTACAGCGCGTGCTTGTGCTTATTGTTCCAGTCCTCAAGGTCAATGCGCAGGGAGTAATCCCCTTGGCTAGAGATGTCATGAATGTGATCGTTCCCCAGCCAGAACTCGGTATGCAAGTCACCAAAGCCCTCTTTGTACTCCTTCCAGCTGCGATTGAAGTTGACCGTGCCGTCCTGTCTTCTCTGAATCACAGTCCATCCCCCACCTAATAGAGAAGTTCTGTCCTGAAACTCTTCAGACATTGTTTTATTACTTAATAATATACCTTAACCTGGTGTCGACCAGTGTCCTATACTGTTTGTGTCTCACAGGACCAAATGAGGGCATGGGATTTGTAATACTTTAGGATGCATCGCCTGCTAGGGAAGCCATGATATATTGCATGAGTCTCTGTAAAACCCAGCAGTCTTTTTAAAACTACATTGACCACTTCTCATCTCCCCAGTTTATCTGCTTATCAAAGGTATCCATATTGGTTGTCTGTACCCTACCACCATGGTTGTAAAATATAAATCCATGTGATCTTCACTCACATTCTCTTTTTCTCTTCTGTCTGGATTCCTCTTGTATTTTCTTCTCTTTTAAACTGTTTTTTTATCAGACAAGACTCCCTGTTTACCTCTTTCATTAAAAAAAAAATATAAATAAAACAGAATTGTCTATAATTGTCTGATAAATTCTGACAATGAGACCCAGGCTTTATAGATGAAAATGTGTTTATATTTTGATTGCAGATTAAAAATGAA